CACACACACACCACGTGAGGAAGGGTTCAGGTTTTTCTTAACTAATTAACTGAAGAAACAAATGAGTTTAATGCGTGCATCTTTCTAGACATGACCGCAAGATCAGGAGTGCTAATAGGTAGGTACCCAAAATGGGACATCAAGGTACACATACCTTCTGTTTTTTGCCCCCAGGTTTGCGCATGCCAAGTGCGTGCTACAGGGAAGATGTATGCCTGCAAGAAGCTGGAGAAGAAGCGCATCAAGAAACGGAAAGGGGAAGCTATGGCGCTGAATGAGAAGCAAATCTTGGAGAAGGTCAACAGTCGATTTGTGGTGGGTACAGATTGGGTGTGCAGCTTCTCCACTCTCTGGGGGCTTTCAGGGAGAGGAGCCTGGTCTGTCTGTCCAAGATGCCGGTAATTTCCATGAGTTCCCCCTGCTGCCCTTTGCACTGCCCACAGCATCTGATAACAGACAGCAACCCTATTAGATTGATTCATGATGGATAAATATGCTGGTATCTGAAGGGATCCTCCCCCAACCTAAGGACAAACATGGTGGCAAAGCAGGAAGGATTGGGTACAGTTCTTGCCATCACCAGATATGGCTGAGGTCTGAATGCTTGGAAAGTTGAGACTGGTCAAAACAGGCCAGCTTTTCTCAACTGGGTGCCTTCCAGATATATCAAACTTCAATCTCCATCATTCCCAAGCAATGACCAGATGGCTAATGCAGTCCAGAACCTCTGTGGATTGGGAAAAGACAGATGTAGACCAGGGTGGAGATGACTGATGCCCTATGGAGATGGTTTGACCAAGACAGCTCTCTGAGCGGTTGAATACAGTATTAAACTTCAATCTCCATCATTCCCAAGCAATGACCAGATGGCTAATGCAGTCCAGAACCTCTGTAGATTGGGAAAAGACAGATGCAGACAGTACACCAGGGTGGAGATGACTGATGCCCTATGGAGATGGTTTGACCAAGACAGCTCTCTGAGCGGTTGAATACCAGCCATCTTGGGTGGGGGCGAAGATGGAGGTAGGCTGTTCTTTTAGGGCCCACCTCCCAGCATCACTAGTGTTTCTGATTGGTCACCAAGGAAAACAAAATGTTGGGTCTGACTGGCTACTGTTGAACAACTACTGCAGAGTGAGGTGTCAATCATGAAAGAGAGCTGTTGGTTTTGTGCCCTGTCTGGGAAAGATCTTATCGGTAACTGGCTGGTCATGATAGAAAACAGGATGTTGGGTAAATGGAACTCTGGTCTGTGGCAGCAAAACGACAGACGAATGAACGCAGCTAGTTGCAAACAGATTTACTTGAAATTCAGTTTATGATAACTAAGGGTCCTAAGTTTCTGAAGAAGAAGGCTGTGCCTTTTGCTCTTAAGTAAAGATGGAGAGTGCCGATTAAAATCTGGGAACTGTTGCAGAATTGTAGTGGCCCCTGATCAATGCATAATCCTCCTGTGGGTTTGGGGGTCTGCAAATCTTATGGCTTAAAAAAAAACCTAGCTAAATTTTTAAACTTCCGTGCTTTACGCCCACCATCCCTGATGAAGAATTCTGGAGAACCTGAAAGCTTGCACGCTGTTGTGGAATGTTGGTTGGCCCTAATAAATATATTACTTGCCCATGGCTGCGGGGATTTCTTTTGTTTTTATGGATCAGGGTGGCTATTTTGGTTTTATATCTTATATTTGCAGGGAAACTGTATCTATTTAGTTACTTCTATAGTTCCAGAGGATGCCGGGCCTTGATACTTGTGTGTTTTGTGTCACGGACCACTGATCTGTCATATTATTTAAGAAGTAATTGAATATATGTGTCTTAGTTCCTTTTGAATAACAAGGAAGTAAAGTGTTCATGTTTCATAAGATAACTAGAGGATAAGAGACTACTTTTTTTTTCTCCTGGCCCTGCTGCTACCACTGTAACTTGCCAAGATCTGTCCACAGGTTAGCTTGGCCTATGCCTATGAGACCAAGGATGCCCTTTGCCTGGTGCTCACCATCATGAATGGAGGTGACTTGAAGTTTCACATCTACAACATGGGCAATCCTGGCTTCGACAATGAGCGGGTCACCTTCTATGCTGCAGAGATTTGCTGCGGCCTCGAGCACTTGCACCGGGAGGGCATTGTGTACAGGTGAGAGAGGTGGGCATCATTTCCAGGTTCACGGAGGACATAAGACACCTAGGAGAAGGCGGGGGCGGGTGGGAGCCTTTCCCGTGGTATCGCTGCATGGGTGGTGCCTGCTTAGAAGGACTCGAGGGCTTTGGAAGCCCACCTGGCGACCTCTGTAAGGACATAAGGAGAGTCGGAGCCATGGTCCACCTGCTCCTGCATTCTCTCTGGGCAGTAGCCAACCAGCTTCTTCATTGGTCTGTTTGTTTATTTCTAATGCCATCTTCTGGATTAAGGAATATCATTCAAGTTCTCCACAATTCTTCATCAGGCAAATGTAAACTATCATTGGAGGGCAAGGGAGGAAACAGATACTCAAAAGAGGTGTGGCAGATGAAGAATCCTACCCTTGTAGAACTAAGTCCTATCCCTTATAGGAGCAGGGAAACTGCCCTTGACCTGGGGAGTACAGTTCTGTTCATACAGCCTAATATTACATTTTCTTTTTTCCCCTCACCATATCACACTGTTAACTCATGCATAACTTGTGCTAAAACCCCAGATCCCCTTTGCTTCTATTCTCACCATATCACACTGTTAACATGCATAACTTGTGCTACACTAAAACCCCAGATCCCCTTTGCTTCTATTACTGCCAAGACGCATGTTGCTCATCCTATGTCTGCTTTCCTGGTGCAAATGCACACCTTTACGTTTTCCCCTATTGAAACACTCTCCCCATCCCCCCAGTTCTCTAATCTGTTTAAATAATCTTGAATCCTTGAATAAAAGCGTTCAGCAATTGAGGTGTCCCCACGGGAAGCCCACAAATTGCCTCTGCGTATCCTACACATAGGACAAAAGTAAAAGACACTTCACTCCGCCCTCCCACAGACACAGCCAATGGCTTCCAGAGGCATACTCCCTTTAGCACTGGGAGGAACACGGGCTCATCACGACTGCCACACACTGATAGTCCCATTTTCTATAAATTTGTCCTTTTCCATTTTTAAATCCATCCAAAGTGATTGCTACATCTTGTGATTGCTGATTCGATGGTTTGACTGTGCATGGTGTAAAGTACTTCTTTTTGTATCTCCTGAATTGCCTCCATTCAACTTCATGGGACAACTCTAGAATTCCATACTATTTGAGAGGGAGAAAAAAATTCCTACCTATCCACTTTTACCACGCAGTGCATAGTTTGCACATCTCTGCCAGGTTCTCTCTTCCCATTTACTTACCTTTGTTAATTATCTAAATGCCCCCTAACAATGTAAGCGTTCTCTATCAGGAAGTTACCCTGTTCTCTTGTTCACTGGATCTGCCTTTTCCAGTACATCTTCCAGGGCCTTCTCATTTTTGGTTATGTCTTCCTCTTCCTTGCAGGGACTTGAAGCCAGAGAACATCCTTCTGGATGATGATGGTGAGTCTTGCATGCTGACCCTGACTTGTTCCTTTTGGAGGCATCAATTACCTTTCACCTTCTGTTCATTTCCTTGGATCAGTCCACAAAGAGGAGGTCCACGCACATCGAAAGGGCGATTGCTAGGATTTTAGCATCTTAAGAAAGTTGTTCCCATGACCCAGATCTCATAGCAGCCAAGACCCACTTTTCCTCAAAGGCATCCCACTGCCCTTTTCATGCTTGCCCTTTGGTTTGCTCCCCGTCTGCTCCCCATCTGGACAGCACTGGAGGGGTGTGCAACATGGCCTATGGGTCAGCTATCTGGACAGCACTGGAGGGGGTGTGCAACATGGCCTATGGGTCAGCTAGAGACAATTGAGAAGACCTTGCTTAAAGCAAGCAAAGGTTCCCATTTTGCCCCTGAAATTCTGCAGCCAACCAGGGTCCATTCCAAGCTCAGAGTCTACTCCCACAGTGAGTCCTGCCCACCTGATTCCTGGGGCCACATGCCAGGAACTGAACCTGTGGATGCTGATATAAATTGAATGTTGCTCCACTCTGCTCTTTCACCTTTCTTCTTAGCTACAAACATCTGCACGTGAACTGCACATGTGGCTGGTCCTATGGGGCAAATCATGGGACACTACCACGCCATAAAACATTGTTACCCCATCTTCTCTACTCTTCCATTCTAGGTCACATCAGGATCTCAGATCTGGGGCTAGCCATCAAGATCCCAGAAGGAGACACGATCCGTGGCCGTGTAGGAACTGTTGGCTACATGGGTGTGTATCAGAAGACAGTTTCCCATCCTAAAGTTTATGCTGGCTTGTTGTAAAAGCTGGCTTGATGCTGCTTTAGGTAGAGTTCCATCCCTTCTAGAATTAAAAATAGCCTGACTACAAAAGGCCCAGGAAAAAAAATGTGAGGAAAATGTCACCCCTTAGAAACCCATAAAAATCAAGGAAAATATATAGTAGACCAAAAAGGCCTATTTCTACCCCTGGGGACTTCCAAGAACAGTGTTTTGCAGAGATGGGCACAAATCGTGTTTCACGCATCCAAGTTATACACCCACATAGCAGCCCTCCTCCAGGAAAGTGCTTTTTAGCAACTGACTTGGGGAAACTGAATCTTCACCAAATTTGGAGGGATTGTAGAGGAGAGTCAGGAGAAGCTTCTCTGCAATTTTGGTGTCTCTGGGTGCCTAGGGGATTGTTTTATCAATGGATCAAAAATAACTAAAAAATTGTTAACTTGTATTCATCAGGGACATCGATTCAGATGAATATGCATCAATTAATTAGCAATTTTTGATGAATTTTGCACTTTGCACATTTTTTTATGAATTTTGCACACACAGGCCCATCTCTATTCAGGAGCCTTGGAAAGTGTCTCCCAAGATCCTCATCACCAACAAACCCAAAACGGAATCCTATCCACTTGACAGTTCCTGGTTGTTATTTTTTTTCCTTTTTACAAAGGCAGTTTTTGGACATTTCCAGGCCAAGTGGAGGCTGCAAGAATTTTCCCTTCAAGCCCAACATATACTCTTACCCCGGTTTATATGTATATATTGTGTGCCATCAAGTCAATTTTGATTAAGGTGACCCTTTTCAAGGATTTTCAAGGTAGAAAATACAAAGAAGTGGTTTAACATTCCCTTTTTTTCTGGGGGCCAACCTGGGACTGACTGTGCAGCTTGCCCAAGGCCACGTAGGCTGCGTTTTGCAGGAGGCCCAGCAAGGAATCGAATTCTCAATCTCTGGCTCTGCAGCCAGATATTTAAACCACTGAGTTATCGAATCCAGCCCTGCTTAAAACCTTGGGAATTGGGAGATCAAAATTATAAGCCCCGATCTGTCTAACCCTGAACAAGATCTTTTGAACACGTTTTATGGAATGAGAAACCCTTGAATTCAAGTCTATCTGCAGGTATAATTTGCCAATTTATACAAGGCTTCATAACAACTCTACATGGATGGTGGAAGTGGGCTCTGCTGTCATCTTTGTCAGAATCTCTTAATATCCTGGAAAGTCAGTGTGGTCCAGTAATTAGAGTATTCGACTAGCATTTGGGGTGTCCACACTCAACTGTCCACTGAATCATTAACATTACTAGAGAGACTTGGGCCAACCGCTCTTATGAGTATTCGTTCTTCCAAAACTCTCTGGTTTATGCATGTAGGATATTGTGCTTTTGTACCCACAATTCAAAAAGCCAGGAAATAGCCTGCATTGCCAGCAAGAAAAAGAATGCCAGGCTTTACATCACAAAGGATCACAAAGGGCAGCCTGAATGTTGACAACACCAATGGCAGCAGTCAAGATGGTCTATATGTTTAAGATCCTCTCTTGTACTCATTACTATTCCCAAAGTGACAACACACAAGGGAAAATCCAGGACCTGACTCCTTTTTTATCCATTAACCACTTCTCACCCAAACACAAAGCAACTGTCAGTGCTTTCCCACCAACAAGTATGAAGTAATTATAATGTAGGAAGGTGTTTGCCACCATGAGTTCACTGGAGGAAAGGTGGACTGCATGTAAGCAGCAGCAACAGTGTCATAAGTAGAGGGAGGATTTCTATGACATTTCACGTTTTCTCTGCAACCTACACTTGTACCCATAAGCAAGGTCAAATATGTTTATGAGTAATCTGGGCTTTCTCACCAGATTAGTCATAAACATGTTCAAACTCACCAGTAAGATCAACCATAGTTTGCAGAAAGAAAGAAAAGATATGTTATAGAAGTCTTCCCCTAGTCATAACAATATCCCTTATGGCTGAGAAATGGTTTGGACATATGTCAGGAGAAGAAAAATAAGTTAGTTTATTATTTACCTCTGATTTTCTGAGTTAAATTAAAAAAAACAGCTTACATTGAAAAGATAACAATAAAATAGAGCTTTGAACAATACTTGTATAATTACAGAAATTAAAAGCAATGTCATTTGGAATAATAATAATAATAAATCCAGTAAAACTAAAAGCTAGCAGATAAGAGTGTTAAAAGGAAATTCAAATAGCAGATCATAGATAAGACTACAAAAAAGAGTAACCACAAACTGAACTGTTCGCTTCTGTTGTGTGCCATCTGTTTCCTTAGTCAGAATTGTCGTTGTGGCACTTACACTCTTATAAGTCTTGTGAGGCTTAAGCGCTTCAGGGTTTCGTTGTTTGGTGTGTTCATTTCCACACATGCCCAGTGCTTAACTGATGAATCCCAAGGGTCACAAGACAATAAAGGTATTTTATTAACAACAACGTTCTGTCCCAGCATCCCCCAAATTCTATGCAAAGAAGGACAGAAATCTGAATTCTCTTCTGTTGTGTCTGTTTCCTTAGTCAGAATTGTCGTTGTGGCACTCTAAGTCTTGTGAGGCTGAAGCGCTTCAGGGTTTCGTTGTTTGGTGTTTTCATTTCCACACGTGCCCAGTGCTTAACTGATGAATCCCAAGGGTCACAAGACAATAAAGGTATTTTATTAACAACAACGTTCTGTCCCAGCATCCCCCAAATTCTATGCAAAGAAGGACAGAAATCTGAATTCTCTGATGTCTAAATTGTGCAAGTTAAACTGTGCAGGTGTTTCCATACTTCATGTTTTCCTATATTGTGTGTATGTGAGAGTAAATATAAAGGGCACTGAAGTCCCTCCAGCCCTGCCGCTGGAAATCCTATGTAGCCAATCTTTTGTTTCTGAAATCCTATGGAGCCTTTTCCATACCATCTTGCTGTCTCTGTTGTGAGAGTTTGGGAATATTTCCCCTTTTTCTCTTTTTTTGGAAAGTGAACACTTACTGTACAATCCAGGACAGCTGTTCTTTTTTTTTCAGGCTATATTCCATTTGTGAAGTACGGTAATCGTTCTTCACTTACACTAAATTCTGGTGAGCGAACATGTGTTTCATGGGTAGAAATGGGGGTATTCGTAAACGAATATCCCCCCACAGGTGCAGATAACGAGGGTCAGGCCCGCTGGGGCCTGACCGACCACTCATGATTCTACGGCTGCTCTGGGCTCTGCGGCCCCTTCCTAAATCCAGGACAGCTGTTTTTTTTCCCCAGGCTATATTCCATTTGTGATGAGCCTCTCTGCCAGGTCAAATACGAATGCGCTGGGGCCTGACCGACCACTCATGATTCTACGGCTGCTCTGGGCTCTGCGGCCCCTTCCTATCACTCTCTTGCTCGCGATGGATTAGCCACTCCTGGCAGAAGGCGGGATGACGAGCCTCTCTGCCAGGTCAAATACGAATGCCCCCATCTCTAGTCATGGGCTATCAAGTCGATTCCAACTACAGCTATCCTAGTAGGGTTTCTGTGGTTTATGAGATATTTAAGGAATAGTTTTACCTTTGCTGCGCCTATGAGCTTCCATGGCCAAATGGGGATTTGAACCCAGGTCTGCTGAGTCCTAGTCCAGCTGTCTGTCCACTAGACCACGCTGGCTCAACAACTGTTTGTCCTCCTGAATTGGTTTTGTCTCTCTGTCCACTAGACCACCACTGGCTCAACAACTGTTTGTCCTCCTGAATTGGTTTTGTCCATTCTGACTGTCAGGTGAAGCTCTCTCCCATCACTTCCTGCCTATGCTGCTGCAGGTTTTCTTGGCATATTTTGCATGCAGAAGAAAATGTTTGCCTGAGGAGTGACATTTGGGAAACTGCAACCCCCAGAGGGATACCAAGTGTGGTGTAGTGGATAGAGTAATGGACTGAGACTCAGGAGTCCTAGGTTTGAATCCCCACTCAGCCATGGAAACTCACAGGGGACGTGGAGCCGGTATAAACCAGTCCTTTTATATCTCACTTGCTTTGAAAACTGTTAGGGTCATTATACGTTGGTTCCAACTTGAAGGCACATAACAACAACCAGCTCCCAGAAGGCTCCAGGCTGAAGGCTTTGTGAAGTTGTTTTCCCTAAAAGGTCACCTTGCAAGATCTGGTAAAATGGATGCTCTTCTCCTGAACTACAAGATTCTGGGAGTTGCAGTCAACAAACATTTATCTGGCGCAACAGGTGCTCTTCTTCCATGCTGTGATGGGCTCTTCTCCTGAGCTTATTTTGTTGTTGTTTAGTCGTTTAGTCGTGTCCAACTCTTCGTGACCCCATGGACCAGAGCATGCCAGGCCCTCCTGTCTTCCATTGCCTCACAGAGTTGGGTCAAATTCATGTTGGTTGCTTCGCAGACACTGTCCGGCCATCTCGCCCTCTGTCGTCCTCTTCTCCTCTTGCCTTCACACTTTCCCAACATCAGGGTCTTTTCCAGGGAGTCTTCTCTTCTCATGAGATGGCCAAAGTACTGGAGGCTCCGCTTCAGGATCTGTCCTTCCAGTGAGCACTCAGGGTTGATTTCCTGAGCTTATACACTCTGAATAAACGCAGCTATCTCCATGCTTTCCTGTTCTTTCCTTCCCTAGCTCCTGAGGTGATTCACAATGAGCGCTATTCCTTCAGTCCAGACTGGTGGGGTCTCGGCTGCCTCATCTACGAGATGACCGAGGGCCAGTCACCCTTCCGTGCCCGGAAGGAACGAGTAAAGAGGGAGGAAGTGGAGAGGCGTGTGCAGGAGGAGCAGGAACAGTACTCGGACAAATTCTCTGAAGATGCCAAAGCCATCTGCAAGGCGGTAAGTAGCAGGTGGCATCAGAAAAGTGGGAGTGGAATGGCAGGGGGAGGCTGTGCTCAGATGCTGTAGGATCAAAGAACAGATGCTTGGATGCAGAAGAAAGCTCAGAAACATTACTCTTGTGGATTACAACTCTCAGAATCTCTCCACCAGTATATGTGGAGGCTTCCTGGAGTAGTAAATTGCCGTATTTTTCTGTTTATAAGATGACCCAATGTATAAGACCCCCCCCATTCTAACCCCCAAATTAGAAAATTTGGCTGCTTCAGGATCAAAGAGGTGCGATCCTGCTGCCCTTTCACGGCTGTATTATCCACTTTCTAAGCCCTGCGGGGCTTAGGAAATGGGTAACACAGTCATGAAAGGGTGGCAGGATCACACCCCTTTGATCCTGAAGCCATTTCATGGTTGCTTTACCCTATGGCTTCGCAAAAGGCAGGGAAAGCGGCTCCCTTGCATGTACAAAATGACCCTCAATTTTTTTGTCTAATTATTTAAGTAAAAAGTGTCATTTTTATACATGGAAAAATACGGCACATTCTTTGCTCCCCAGGGACCATAAACACACCTATGGGCTACCCTTTGCCCCTGCTTTAGCCATTTATATAACATTTACTCTCTCCCCCCACTGGTGCTTTCACAAACAACCTCTTGTGGCTTTGAGACGTGCATTCTGGAGCAAGAGGAGCGAGTAGCCATGCATCCAGTGATGTTTCCTTGACTTTGGATCTGCTCTCCTCCTACTATGAGGTGGAGATAGAACTTGGGAGATTTTCCTTTGCTTTTGCTTTGCTTCCTGGACTATGACTCCCAGAATCCTACAATTAACTTGGCCAAAAAAAAGCCAGCTGAGGTACTCTAGAGCCTAAAATTGTCATTTCCCAAGCTCTCAAAGAGATGAACTGGCTCTTCTTTTTGCAAAGAAGCATGCACCCCCATTGGCTAGCTATGGGGAGAACAGAGTAAGGGGCATTGGAACGGGCAGGTGATGGGCATCTCATGGAGGGCAGGGTGCTTGCCTCATCCTGATTCTTGCTCTATGCCTCCCAATCCTCAGCTGCTGACCAAGGATCCCAAGCAGCGGCTGGGAAGTAAAGGAGACGGGGCCGTCCAGGTGAAGCTGCACCCGTTCTTCAAAACCATCAATTTCAAGCGCCTTGAAGCTGGAATCATGAAACCTCCCTTTGTACCAGATGTAAGCACAGACAGGCGACAGCAAAGCTACTGCTGGTTCACACACGCAGTGCAGTTCTGCAGAGAAAATTCTGAGGAGGGGCACCATCCAGACAAGAAGCTGGATGGTGGGTGCAGGCCCTTCTGCTGAGTGCCGTGCTTTCACCATAAAAGCCAAGGACAACATGATACCTGGGACACCCTACCTCACCATTTGAATATGCTTTCTCCTTATGCTCAAAAGCCCACGTGCTGTGCTGCTCCCACAGTCAAATTCAAAATGGGCTGGGAGCGGCTGGCCATCCTGACATTGCTTCTGTAAAGTTCACCAGACAACAACCCAAGCAGATGCTTCAGTCTGCTCTGTCATGGCAGGGGACAGTTTAAAAACATTTCTTTCTTTCTTTCTTTCTTTCTTTCTTTCTTTCTTTCTTTCTTTCTTTCTTTCTTTCTTTCTTTCTTTCTTTCTTTCTTTCTTTCTTTCTTTCTCTCTTTCTTCAGCCATTCCTGACTTGTGCTGGGGCTGCTGGTGGGGGAAAAAGAGGGGAGGGAGTTTTAAGGCAGCTCTGCTGTAACTGCCTCCTGCAGATTTGGACAGCCAGAGCAGAGCTGCTTTGAGGAGCTGGAAATGAAGCTGAAATGAAGACACCTGTCTCTCCACCAATTCCTCATGCTTTTTTTCTCCTTGGTCACCTATCTGGTCTAGTGCCAAGAAGACAAAGACAAAGGAAAGGACAAGATAACAAACACAAGACAAGAAAAAGAATTTCTTCAGCCATTCCTGACTTTCTTTCTTTCTAAGATGACAGCTCTCAGATTTTTTAAAAAAGATTTTTTTAAAGATGACAATTGGTGATGCTACCTGGGGAGATTCTGAAAACTGTACCGCCCCAATCTAACTTTTGCAAACTGTTATCCTATAGCGTTTCCTGCCCCGTTATGATGGCTGCTGGAATTTCTAGCAGCCATGGAAGCCAAAAAGAAAAGATCCATGAGTGGCCAACCGGAACTGGCAATCCCTTGCAACCCAGTATATAGCCTTCAGCTGAATATTGTGTGCAAACTATCCTTTTGCATAGACTCTCCCCATCTTGACCCACACATGACTGCAATTGTTGCCCCACAGCCCCGGGCCGTGTACTGCAAAGACGTGCTGGACATCGAACAATTCTCCACTGTGAAGGGTGTCAACTTAGACCAAACTGACAACGACTTCTATGCCAAATTTGCCACCGGCAGCGTCCCCATCCCCTGGCAGAATGAGGTAAGAGATCGGGGTGTGATGAGATGGATGGAGAAGGGAAACCATAAAAGGGAGAAAAAAATAAGAAATGTTATAAAGGTCTTCCTCAGCAACACTCCTTCTTCAAGGAGACCCAAACACAGAATTTTGGATTCAGGGGTCATGGACGCCATAGTGTAGGCATAAAAGCAGCTGAAGGCTGAAAGCTGGAGATAGCAGCATGACACCCTCCGAACCACTTGCATTCTCAGTGTGGCCTGTGAGTAAGGTGGGGGGATTCTCACCTTTTATAGAATATGCAATGACAGCAAGTCCTCACCCCGCCCCACACAGCTTTCCTTCCCATTTTGTACATGAGACGATGGGGGAGATCATGGGGGATTCTTCCCAGCTCTGGGAAGTGTAGCTTCTGGCGGGGAGCATCCCTCCCAGGCTGGCTCTGGACCCTCTGGGGGGACCTTCTGGTTAGTTCTGCAGACCAAAGGTTCCCGTCTCCTGGTTTAGCTCCATAAGGACAAAGGCAAGCCGGGTGCTCATCCCTTCCCTCTAGCACGGATCTAGGGATGGTTCAGAGACCTTTAACTCCTCTGTTGAACAGGACGCAGGTGGGTCATTTTCTGGGGTCCGAAGGCTGCAACCGAGTCCTTGACCCCACAATTGTAGATTGAACTGTCATCCTAAAGGACCCTTTTTCCAAGAGTCAGGTTGCATAAGGCACAACACTCATATACTCTGGTCTAAGTATGTATTCTTTTCTTTACTTTACTTTTATTGGATTTTTACCCCACCCTCCCCTAGACAAAGTCTACTGGGGGCAGCTTACCTACATAAAAACATAGCAAAACAACATCCCAAAAACATTTCTCCCTCACTCCCCAAATGGATGGCCTGTTCTTTTTCTTCTTCTTCTCCTTCTCCAGATGATTGGCACAGAATGCTTTAAAGATCTCAACGTTTTTGGACCAAACGGCAAGCGATGCCCAGATCTGGACTGGAAGCAACTTCCTGATCCCCCCAAGCGAAGCCTCCTGCAGAGGCTCTTCCGTCGCAATGTAAGTCTTGCCCTTTTGGCTTCTTCCAGGATCTCACTCATTTCCTGCCAAAAAAGCCTTGGGCAAAGCAACATCGCCCACCGCGGAGGGTGTGTGCCACCGCCCGCCCCTCAAGTGCAGCCCTCTGCACCTCGACCGTCCCTCTTAAGAGTAAAGAGCCTCATTCAGCCACACTCAGCGCGGCCACCGGCCTATTTGAGGTGGCTCAGAGGGCCTGGCTGTCCAGACCTGACCCTTCATCTTTCTCCCCGCTCTTCCTTCGCAGCCCAGTGACTTCTCCCTCAGCACCAACGCACACTCCAACCTGTCAGCAGCTCCCTCACCGACCCGGCCCACAGCGCAGGCTCCTTCCTGACCCACGGCCCAGAAGCCCCCTGAAGCCACCACTGGTCCGTTGCCTTCTCAGGGCTGCCAAAGGCCTGACCTCCCCCCCCCCCAACATGGAGGTGTCGCCGTCCTGGACTGGGGCCTCTGACCAGCAAGGAAACTGGGGGAAGGCGGCCTTCGATCCTTCAGGAGAGACTGTGCACTGGCCTCGGGAGCCCTCAAGGCCTCCCAGGGCTGACACGTTGCGGATTGCAGTTGTTGGGACCCTTTGTGGACGTGGTTGGATGTCCAGGCGGGTGGCTTTTGCCAGATCTTCCTCCTTTTCTTGGGGCTCTCTGGCCACGTGGGGAAACTCCGTCCCTCCCCTCCCCTGTTTTCTGTCTCTCTCTCGCTCTCAATAGCATGGAGCCTGCCCAGACGTTAATGTGAGATGGTCAGAGGGCGGGGAAGGTGCCTTAGACAGGGGAGATTTAGCCCTGCGTTTGGAGGTGACCCAGAGGTGGAAACAGGAGCCTTGAAGCAGTGGCTCAGAAAAGAGGCTCATCACGAATAGCACCTCTGAGACCACGGATGCCCCACAGTTTCAGTGGCAGAGACTGGGAACGTCAAGCGGCACTGGCATGGATAAATGTGTGCGTGCCGACAAGGGTGCAAATGTCCACCTGTTACACAATTGCCTCCTTTGGTTTATTCAGGGTGTTTCAGGAATCTCTACCTACCCGTAATCTCGAAATAACTGCAGCCTGGGAATATGGGAAGTTACTTTATATCAAGTTGGATTCTCCTGGTCGGCCTAACTCAATATGGTCAAATCTGACTAGGAGGAGCATTCCAGGATTTCAGGCAGAAGGCATGCACAGGATTGAACCTTCTGTACACAAAGCTACTGCCCTATCCCTGACCTACTATGGCCTCTACCCAAAGGGCCACATGGCCAGGAAAAGAAGGGAACGCGAGGCCACTCCAGACCAAGGGTTGGAAATCACGTTGACCTTATTTCCCAAGAAGGGAAAAGTTTTCCCTCATAATTTTTATCCTTCCCCCCCCCCCAAAAAAAAACAACCCTTGAGAGTCTGCTATTGTGTTGCTCATGAATGGTCCAGACCTTGTTTTAGCAAAACAAAATGTCCAGTCTGTTTTAAACTGGAGGTATTTTGGTGTTGCTGTTGCTGTTTTTCTCTCATTACAGAGGAGGGACTTCTGGTTATTTTCTGCTTCATTTGGAGAGGTTGATGTACAGACTCAGACACGCCCCAGAGCTTGCCCTGCTTCGAAGGCCCAAGTAGGGAGATCAGCATGAAAAGAGTGAGGGGGGGGGGGTTTCAGGGTGCTCAGAATAGGAAGGCCCAAGGATTTTATGCAGGCTGTGTTTTGATGTGAAGGTCACCTGGTCCGTACCACTCAGTCTTCACAAGAGGATCAGTGGGCAGTGACCCTCGTGGTTTCACACTTCTCTAAATTTTGCAATGCAACTTTTAGCTGGCAAAAGAACTTTTTTTAAAAAAAAAAAAGCATACAAAATGTGTGTTTTCTGATAAAAGGTCTACACAAATGTGAATGGTGCCCGAAAGTGCATAGGAAAATAAATATTTTATCATAAAACAGGTAGAAATTGACATGCCTTTTAAAAAATAATAATAATAACACTACCCTGCAGATTAGCATGAAAATAGGATGGAACCAAGCTGTGAATGAGAGATGAAATTAGACCAATATTTGTCTGGTCCATTCTGTAGAGCAGTGGTCCCCAACCTTGGGCCTCCAGATGTTCTTGGACTACAACTCCCAGAGGCCTTCACCACCACCTCTGCTGGCCAGGATTTCTGGGAGTTGAAGTCCAAGAACATCTGGAGGCCCAAGGTTGGGGACCACTGCTGTAGAGGACTTTGGTTACATATTGCACATTAAGCTGGACAAAGCCAGAGGTGTTCAGTGTCTTCAAAACCAGGACTCACTTTTAAACTCAAATTGCAATGCTGAAGAGCCAAGTTTTAATTTTTTTAATGCATTTTTTTGTTATATCATTTTTTCTGGATCTCTGACTACACATGTCTTTATTTTAGGTCCTTAACTTTCTGTCAATGCCCCCTCTTTTTTCTCCTCTCCTCCTCTTTTGTTCAGAGACAAGTATTGGCTCTACTTCTTAATGCAGCTAGAGTCAGAACAGTAGACGTTGGCTGCATGTGAATGAAAGAAGTGGCTATAGATTCTCGCTGTTTTTGTGTGTGCAGGTGCCACATCTTAATAGCCCACTCTTGTCTGTATTTTCTTGGGCCTGCTCTAACTATGCTATAGAATGAAGTGATAATGGGGCCACAGAAAAGAATATGCCATCTCTGACTAATGATTGATCATAGTACAAGTGCTTCCCTACATTAATTCTGATGCAGTTGTTAAAATGCAGTACTGCAGTCAAGATTTTGTTCATGAACTGAGTTTGATTCTGACGGACTCAGATAACCAGCTGGAGGCTGACCCGGCCTTCGAGCCTTCCAAGGTGAGCTCACTGGTGGGGAAATGTGTAGCCTGTATAATTAAAAACTGTAAACCACCCAGAGAGTGATTTAAGTGTCATAGGGCAGTATATGAGCAGCACATTTTGCTTTTTAATCCTTCTCCAGGAAAACCGTAGTACCCCAAAGTCACATTTTGTTATAGACTTTGGAGAGACGTTTTATGATTTTGTCACTTGAAAAACTATAAATAATCTTCAGCCATCTGCCATGTAATTTGCAGCTACTTTCCATGTACAGTTTTTTTAAAAAAAAAATGTAGTCCACACAAATATACATATGACATTTTGCCATAGGGTACTATGATGTACCAGCCAATATAATGTACTGATACAAAAAGTCCCGCGCCATCTTTCAGTGAACCATTCCAAAAAACAAAAGGGACATGTTGTGTTTGTCCGTGAGTTAGCCCTCTTTGGAAGGGAGCCATTCTTAGTGGGTTCAGGAAATACAAGACTCACTGACCCATACTTAACATGAATCTTCACATTTATTGGAATTTCCATGCAGTCAAAAAATATCCCAAAAGCCACTCTGCAAGTTTTTTTTTAATGAGGGTTAAAAAGAAGATTTTTTTAAAATGATCTCCCAACAAGTAGAAAATTAGCTTGTCAGGGAAAGGACAGGCTTCCAGTCATAATCTCAGAGGTGCTGTTTTTACTTGTGGGGAGGTTGTTGTTGTTGTTGTTGTTGTTGTTGTTTTTAACTTAAGAGCGGAGTCAGAAGCTGACAGATCAGAGTGTAACTATCCTGTGGGGACACAACTACGCTGCTCTCGTTTTGGAACAGCCAGTCCAAAAATGCATAGACGCTTTTGGGTCCTATTGTTTATTCACTTTCCTTCCAGTTTGACCTGTTCATCAGTTGCAGAGGAGGGAGAGGTTAATTTTTTTAGACTACAGTTCCCAGAATACCACAGCCAGCAGGGAAGTGGCAGTCCAGAGCACTCCTCTATCTGGGGAGCACTTTTTATGTGAGTCGGCAAGGAAGGAGTGTGCGCAACCTCTGTGCACCTCTTCCTCTTCGGGGTGACAGACTGGCCTTAGAGGAGGGGTGAATGGGAAAGGTGGGGGTGGGGAGATCTGAGCCTGCTCAGGAAGGGTCCCCCCCCCCAGAGAGCACCATGCTTGCAACTTGCAAACAACCAGAGGTGTGCAGATAGATGCTTCTCGACTACAGCTGCCAGAAATCCCTTAGCTCTATGAATAGCAAGTCATTGGGGCTGCCAAGCAGATTAAGGGGGTTCTTGAGGGTAGACATAAGCTTCAGGTCCTCAGTTCTGGTAAATGCCGATTAAGGAGAAGTGATGACGATACAGAGAGAGCTCTCGGAAGGAGGTGGGTTGGCCCAAAATGCATTGTTCACAGACCACCCGAGAGTCCAATGCCAGGAACGGAAGTAGTGTTATCAGTTTCATCTGAGATCAAGAGTGGGCTGCCTCTTAAGAGCCCCGGTCTTGTCTTTCCAAAACAGCTCACAAGAGGACTGGATCCATTTAGTTCCCCCCCCCAAGGCCATGGCTTTTGCTGAAGGCCAGCGCGAGAGGCATCTATTTTTACCCAGAAACTGCACTTTTATCTTATCATTTGGTTGCTACGCGACCTGCTGCAGGAAGGGCTTGCTCTGAGCCCAGGGGTCCTGGCTTTTATCTTCTTTGAGTTTTTAACAGAGAAACAGATCTGGCCTTGGAGCAGGAAGGACTTGGCCGGCCGGAGTGCCAGGAGGACTCTGCAGGCCATCCTCCCAACTGTTGGTCTTGAGTGGACGATGGCAGTGCTGCCCTTCTCCAGTTAGAAGGTCTCCCTCTTTTCCTTCTTGCACAGAGTTCCAAACACCTCCTGTGCCTTAGATGACTTTATAGCAGGGAGAGGTTAATGCTGTAGTTCAGGCCCTGGATAGCTCAGTGGTTGAGGCATCTGGTGGTGGAGCCAGAGGTTGGCGGTTCGATTCCCCGCTGGGCTTCCTTGACACGCAGTGATCCATAGGGTCCCTTCCAGCTTCTGCAGTTCCAAGATTATAGATTAATAGAAGGTGGTCTCCACATTTGTGTGCAGAACTTTGAAAAGTTGTATGGGACTATAGGGTGCAGAATCCCCAAGGGCCCTGTGAGGGATTCTGCGAGTTGTATTCCAGAAAAGGAATTTGTCAAAGCTCTAATAACATGGCAGGCCCTTTTAGGAACCCCACGTTTCTAGTGTAAAAAAATCAAATTCTGACCTGAAGAGTCCACTCTCTCCTCCCGAAGTGCAGGCTGGTTTCTCACAGGGGAAGCTCTTTCCTCTCCGGACTCAGAGAACAACCATGTTGTGAGAACAAAGGCAGCCTAAACAACTGAGCTTTGCAGTGAGTATATTTGCTAGGAAATAAAGCCCATTCAGTCCAGGAGATTTGCCACCAAGAGCTGGTTGTAAACCTAACTGAGATGGGAACAGCAACTTTTGACCTTCCAGATGTTGTACTGCAGTTCCTATCAGCCTATAAGGAATGGTGGGAATCCCTGCACATCAACACCCATTGCCCACCAGTTGCCCACCAAGTCCGGCAGTAGTTCTGTGCTCTTCCAAAGCATAAGCCTGTACTCTGGCCTCGGCTGCAACTGGCCGTTTTCGCCACAGACCTTCGTGAGGGAGGAAGATGACCCACGTATGTGTGCGTGTTTCAGCAGGACCCGATTTGCCAATCTGATACAAAGGCGACATTGACAAGAGGGCCTAATCTGCACATTTTCTTTACTGTTTTAAAAGGTCTCTACAGTTAAATGAAAATGCCCTGACATACTTTCTAAGAGCTAAATTTTAAAATCTCCCTCCTCTCCCACCCCACACGACTTTGGGGCGAGATGGTTGGAAAGTTGCAAAAGTACTCCTTGGGGCTAAATGCAGCCTCTCAGCTGCAGGTTGCCCGCCCTTAGTATATGGCAAGGAAAAGCCTGCATAGGAATTCACTGCCTTTCCTACTAGCGCTTGTAACTTTCCTTTTAGGAGCAGTTTAATGGGCAGTTTTTAAAACAGAAACTGGAGGTAGTCCAGCTGTTAAACATCCTCTAGCCTGGTGCTCTCCCAATGTTGAGAGGTCTTTTTTTTTTCTTTTTACCCTTTCAATGTGATGTCTTGCTTAAATCACATGGGGAAATGTTCCTTGGTTTTCCAGGTCTCTGTGGGTGGGTGAGAGTTGTTCCCACTGCAGTGAGAACTCGGAGAATTGCACTGGACAAATTATTCCATCTGGTGCAGCCTCCATCCCCACCCCAATCCCTAGAACATTGGAAGAGGAAAGGTCGGGCACAGCAGAGATGGATCTTCCCAGCTATGTCATGCTTGAAGGCAGAATCATAGAATAATGGAGTTGAAAGGGGGCTGTAAGGCTATTGAGTCCCACTCCCTGCTCAGTGCAAGGATCCAAATCAAAGCAGATCTGACACACCATTGTTCAATTTCTCTTGAATGCCTCCGGTGTTGCAGCACTCATCACCTTCTGAAGTACTGTAATTGGTTCCATTGTCATACTGCTCTAACAACTAGAATGTTTTTTTCCTATGTCAAAAACTGGTTCCCTTTCAGTCAAAGGCTGGTAATCAGGAATTTAACATGTCACTGCAATTTTTTGTCTGTGTGTTTTAAGTGCCATTTAAAAATATGCATTGGAAGCAATTCTACCACACATGCTGAGGATCGCAACATAAATTTATCAGCCTTAGTTCAGGTGGCCTGCCATTAAATAATGTAGCTTTGAGGCACGAGTCCATGGCTTGCATCTCATACCTTCAGGACTACATATAAGAGATTCCCATCCCCAAGTTAAGTAATCGGGAGGAACCACCCCTTTGCTCCATCCTAAATCTGAAAGTGGTTTTAAACAAGAGATACCTTGGTTAAAGGTTATGCTGGGGTGCTAATCAAAATTGATCTGAAGTTACACAGTTCAGATTGCTTTTATTTTTCTCTTTCTTCCTTTATAAACAACTCTGCCCAACCCTTTGAACC